AGATATACAGGGTGAGAAAAAAAAGACTGCAACAAAGTCCAACTCCATAATTTTTAAATTTTTTTAAATGTTTTTTGAATGAAAGCAAAAAATGTCGGAAATAGCATTAAATTTTAGAATAAGCTTAGATTTGTTCGAATCGGCCACCTTTGGAACGAATTATGGCCTTCGAACGGCCAATGAAACAGTTACACGCTACCGGAATGTTGCTCTGCGGTATTTTGATCAATTTCCGGTGAAGCGCTTGCTTGAGGTGATCGACACTTTGGTTATTTTTTAGTGCCCACCTTAACTTCCAAAATACTCCAGACACAGTAGTCCAACAGATTGGTATCCCGAGATTTTGGTGGCCATAGAAATGAAGTGAGAAACCTCATTTTGTAACCATTCTTGGGTGGAGCGTGTTGAGTGCGAAGTCCTGTTGGCTGTACCATGTTGGTCTGCGACCAAATGGTCATCTTTGGAACGAATTATGGCCTTTCAACGGCCAATGAAACCGTCACACGCTGCCAGAATGCTGCTTTGCGGTATTTTGGCCCATTACCGGCGAAGCGCTTGCTTGAGGTGATCGACACTTTGGTATTTTTTAGTGCCAACCTTGCTTTCCAAAATACCCCAGACACAATAGTCCAACGGATTGGTATCCGAAGATTTTGGTGGCCATTGTGCGCTGGAACCTCATTTTTTAAACATTCCTGGGTGGCGCGTGCTGAGTGCGATGGTGCTGAGTCCTGTTGGAATGTCCAAGCTCTGCAAACAAAATGTTTGCGTGTCCAAGGTTTAAATACACCCTCAGAATATTTTCACGATAATATTCGGCATTTATTCTGATGTCACGGTCGTTTAATGCGAGCGGAAAGCGACAATCGGCTGTTATAGCGACCCACACCATCACCATGGCATGCGCTTGAGTTCTGGTGGCCAACCTAAGGCGCCCATTTTCAGTTAACCCCTCTTTGGCAAGTAAACACGATCATTTCGTTTCTTTACAAACTGCTGGACAACGAATGTTTTCTCATCGGAGACGAAGAAAACCAAATTCGGCAGTTAACCCCTGTCGGCCAAGCGATGCAACTTTTTAGCTCTTTTGAGTCTATTTTCTTTCGGTTGCGGTGTAAGTTCTTGCACTTTTTGGAATTTCAATGGCTTTACCCCGAGCTCATTTTTCCATATTTGCCGAATGGAATATTGCGATATGTTCAGATCACAGCCATTTTTCAGCCACTACGACGCTGGTTTCGATCAAGTCGCTTCTTTACATTTCGAAGCATTTCTGCTGGTGTTGCTGTTCCGTCTTCCGTCCACTTCCTTGACGTAGGGCTACGCTCCCAGTATCCAGTTTCACGGTGACGAGCGATGGTACGAGACACAAAAGATTTATCCACATTTAAATGCTGGAGTGCTCTAACGATAGCCACTTGTGGTTTTCCAGCCAAATATCAAGAAATCACACTACCACGCTTGAATTCCATCACGAATAACTTTTTTTTCTGAAAAATTCTCACCAAAATGCTTTTGTAGGCTTGTAACCAATATTATGAGCTGTAACTGGAATAATTTTAACAGCTATCGGACGAGTGGCTAGAAATGGTTTTTAACATTTTTATTGAGAATTGCAGTCAAAATAGTTATTTATTTTATTTTCCAAATGTCAAAGCTCTGGTGGAAAACTTTTGCAGTGCCACAAAGAACATTTTTTTTATGATTCCGAATCAATTTTGTTATCATGTCGAGCCATAAAATAATAGTAACCAAGTGTTGTAAATTTGTATGTTTGTTGCATTATTTCTCTTTAAACAAATGAATACTGTTACCATGGATGACGTTCGTTTTGTTAAAGTAAAGCGGTATATCAAATTTGACGTCTGTCTGTGCGCATGATAGCTCTCAAGGGGATATGATCCAAATTTAGTGCATTGTAATTTTTATACGCTCCACCTTGAAAAGGAGGATATATTAATAATATTCATAAATATTTGTAATATTCATAAATATTCGTCGTAGACCCCATAAAATATAAATATTCATGATCAGCATAAAATTCTACGTCCGTCTGTTGAAATCAGAATACAGCCCACATTAGACGTAGAGCTCCAAAATTTGCCAGCACAATTTGTATTGTGTCTAGGATGATTGGTATAGCCGCCATATAACGGTACCTTTCGATATTCGGTATTTTGATGATTTTGCCCACATTTTTCACGAATTTGTCTAAAAATTGGTATTTGTATGTCATGATGGGTTCTGTCATCGGTGGCGAAATATCATATGTATAGGTCCAACTTTTTGTATATCCCCAAATAACGGCAGGTATATACGATATTTTTTATGATTTTTGCCACATTTTCCCACTGATTTACTTGAAGTAACGTTATAGTATTGAAAACTATATACCCTCGGCATTACTATTAAGCTTAAAAATAATGAGTTATCATACCAAGCACGGTCTCTGGTCACAATATAATGCTCGAAGGGAGCATACGATTTGCTCCACCAAACTTTGCATGTGGTTAAGTCTATCAAACTTCAATCGAGTTGAAAGATGGACAATCTCGGGTCACTCCTGCTAATATCGCCCATAAAAATGGTGAGAATGAAATATATCGACCCACTTTTTTTTTGGTACAACCGTAAAAAATTTTAATTATCTGGAAAAATTTTAAATATCTGGAGATTCGTCCGGGATTTCTTCGAAAATTAGATGGCGTGCTATAATGGGATATATAAATTTACACCTTTTCTAAAAAAAAAAAATAAAATCCGAAATTTTATTGAACTCGAAAAACTATCGAATATCAAATTTTGCTAATTTTTTTTTTTTAAATGAAACCAATGGGCTAGGTGGGGTATATAACATTTCATACGGCCAAAGCGTGACTCATCGATTTTAGACCCTAGTTTTATTTTGACCAAATCCATTTCAGGACATTTGGAGTCGATCTAGCGATGTCCGTCCGCCTGTTTGTCTGTCGATAACTCTCGAAGGAAGTATCCGATTTGTTCCAAACTTGATATATCGTAATAATATTGTCAAGCTTAGATCGAGTGCGAAGATGGGCAAAATTTTCACCTCTTCTGGTACCTCCCCCACAAAAGGTGAACTTTTAAAGGAAATTTTTTTAGCCCATAGAAAGAGAAAAGATCATTTGATTTTGTAGAAACTTTATAAATCTGAAAATTTTCTTCGGTGTTAGGTCAGGTGCAAAAATGAAAAACATCGGCCTGCTCCAACAAGTAACCCCCCACCCCCAAAGATCAACGTTTGGAATAATTATAACTCCTATAAAATACAAAATAAGAGTCCTATTATCTTCAAATTTCGCACATCCCAATATTTTTATCAACACAAGATCTGGTGTGAAGACGAAATATATTGGACCACTATTTCTGGTACCTCCCCCACAAAGGGTAAAAATTTGGAATAATTATAACTCCTATAAAAAGTTAAATAAAAGTCCGATTGTCTTCAAATTTCACACATACAAATATTTCCGTCACTGCTGGGTTAGGTGCGGAAATGGAAAATATCGACCCACTCTATCAAGTACCTCCCCCACAAAGGGACAAAATTTGGAATAATTAAAACAGTGTGGCTTGTTTGTTCGGGATACCGTAGTATTTTGTTGTTGCAAAATGGTCAGGCTTTATCCCTTTTTTTGTTGTTTTTATAAAAACAACGTTTGTTTATTAGTGAAGAACGATGGTAATGTTTACCAGGGGGTAAGGCAGGGAATACCTAGGATTCGGAAACTCTTATAAAATGAGAAATAAGAGTTCGATTGTCTTCAGATTTCACACATCGCAATATTTTTGTTAACACGAGATCTACTGTGAAGACGAAATATATTGGACCACTACTTCTGGTACCTCCCCCACAAAGGGTCAAAATTTGGAATAATTATAACACCTAAAAAATGTAAAATCAGAGTCCGATTATCTTGAAATTTCACACATCCCAATATTTCCGTCAGTGCTAGGTTAGGTGGGAAATGGAAAATGTTGACCCAAGCGAATTGACCATTCGATTCTCTTAATATATTTTACATATCCCAATATTTTTATTATAAGAATATCTGGTGTGACGATTGAAATAGGACCACTCCTTCCGATACCTCCTCCACAAAGGTTCAACATTTTGAATAATTATATCTCTCATATTCTTCAAATTTCACACATCCCAATATTTTCACTAACACAAAATCTGGTGCGAAGATGGCATGTATCGGTCCACCCCTTTTGGTACCTTCCTCACAAAGAGTCACAATTTTCAGTTGTTATATCTCCCAAAACTTGCGAAACAAATCAGCAATGGTTTTCTATAAATATTTCTCAAGCAGAGATCTTATTTCCACTTCTTCTAGTACCTCCCCCATAAAGGGTCAACAGTTTGAACACTCATAACGCTAGGTTGAGGGAAAACGGAAAAACCGACTGATACTTCTTAACTTATTTTAATATTTTTAAGGGCACACCGAAATAACATATTTTTTCAAGGACCTTCCGGCTATATTTGAATCGTGAACATTTTTTTGTTTTTTTTTTTTTTTAAGAAAGTTTTAATGATTTCCTGTAAAAATTCAATTCTGATATTATTCAAGAATGGTTCAAAATCATGAATTTTTAAGAATAGTCCCTACTCTTTGCAATGCAAACCATATCCTCAGGATGACATGACACAAAAAGGAAGGGAAAGGTTAGGTTAGAGGATGTGTAGTTATAAATGAATTGAATAAAAAAGGAGGGGCAGCCAAAGATCGATACGAATATTTCCTGGAATCATTGTCGATAAAACAATCTCGAAATACAAAATTAAAAACCGCAAATGTTTTATTTTCCATCAATCGGATCATAAAATTATTGTAGAAAATAATTTCCCACTGTTCTGGGTAATTAACTTTTTCCGAAAGTTATAAAATAGTCTCTAACACTCATACAGCTCATAAAAAATTATAATTAAATTTTGTTTTTTTTTTTTTTCGAAGGGTGGCAAATCTACTCACCTGAAATAAAACGACCAATTAACATTTGTATGAATATCGCTGAGCGTTCGTTGTGCAGTGAGGCTGTGGCCAATAGGCCCCAGCCCAGGACACCACAAATATCTGTGACTAGTATGGTATTTTTACGGCCGATACGATCCATTAGCAGTCCGACCAGAAGACCTCCCAAAGGACATGCCATGGTGTTGATGGAGGCTATAAAAAACACACACACATACACACAAAGACACGTAAATAGTGTAGGTGCTTAAAATATCCCTTTGGATAGGGGGCGGAAGATCATGTCTTTGATACATACAAAACCAACTGGCCTCCTCCTGGGAGAGACAAAATTCCTCATTTTCATCCGTCAATTGACCCAGCGTTACTGAGGGTAGGGCCACAGCCATGCCGGCTCCCATGACCCCAGTATTGCCGAGCAGCACCATCAGTTGTTGGCGCCACACCGCTTTGCGACGCTCGCCCAAGGGCTTCGTTTTCTTCTCCTTTTTTTGAGACCTGTCCAGACCTGAGCATATTTTGTCCGAGGCTTGTTTCTTGCCATTCTGTTCCAATTTAATGGTTTCCCAACGATCAGAGGACATAATCTATAAGGCACTGTGCGGAACCGATATTTGATTTCGTATTTGTTTGTTGTAGGGCACTTTTGGGTTTCTCAAATTTCAATTAACTTTTGTTTCAAATATCATTCATTTAACAAGCTAAAAAGCTGTTCTAATGCCGAACTCAATAAGGAACGTTTCACTTTGTTTAAATTAATTGTTTTGCTGTTGTTGCTATTTCTCTCTGCTTTCAATTTTTTTTTTTTTAATATTTTTTTTATTTCAAACACAAAAATTGCATAATTCACATTTGGAAACTGCCAATTACCGAACGGCCAAACGGGCAGGATATTAATTGGATGTCAAAGTAAAGTAAAACCAAATAAAAAAACCAATCAAACAAATGTTTGTGCGCTTTATCCTTGAGCTTTGTTTGTTGCGTCACGAAGAGGAAAAAGAAACCGACTAGAAAGGAACGTGAGAGTCCTTTGTGTTTTTTACTGGCCGCCGCGTCTGACCAACCTTCCGTTTTCAACGAACCGTCTTTGTTGACTCTTCCCGTGGGACTGTTGCACAATTCGCACTGCATTCGATTGTTAGCCTCAGTTCTTGGCTCTCTGTAGCCATGTTGGTCGAATGTGGAACACAGCTTTTTTCTGCTCGGCGGAGGGAGAGCACCTCGCTTGCCATTAAGAGCAGGCAGACGACGACGACAATTTAGACCGCAGACACCGGGGCCCAATCTAGACTTGAATGGAAAACTGGTAACAAATCACATGTATCAATGACAGACTAACTGACTAAACGAACGACCGATAGACGAAGCGAGGAGAGCGTGGCACCGACACCGACCAAGCATCGACTAGCATTAAACATTGCGATTCAATATTTGTTGCATTTGCCAGATTCGTGATGGTGCTGCTGTCTGTTTGGTGGGTCTCAATTGGTTGGTGTCGCTAGGAAATCAGCGCCAATTGAAAATAAAACGCTTCTCTTAAAACAACAACAAAAACGTATCACCATCGTCACTTTGTATTTTTAAATGTCTTGTGTTTTTGTTATTTTTGCTTTTTTTTTTCCTTCGGTTGGACCTGTTATCCGACGACCATCCATCCATCCGACCACCTTCTTTTACTACCACCGACTGGCTACTGTTTGCCGTGTCTCGAATTAATTGCAAATGATAACGTTTACATTATTCATTGACCAACCAACCGAGCGACGGTCCGACCGACCCACCAACTAGCCATCCATCCATCGAAACAACACTGAACTTGACACTGTATTCTCAATATTTTGTTCCTTGTTTCTTTTTGTTGCTTTCTGCTCTGTTACGGCTCTAAGGCAATCGTCGGCAGACGCACAGACGAAATATCAAAAACCTTTGAAATGTTAGTTTTATAGCAAAGTTCGACGCTTGAATGGCATGGCAAAAAACGAACGTAATGCAAACCGACAAACAAACATACGCTAATGTTTTATTTAGACGGGGGGAATTACTATACGTTTCGAGTACAGTGTGGGGCAAAATTGGAGGGTAACGAATGTAAGCGATGGATTTATGCTAATGTAAATGGGTTTCCCTTAATTTTAATTTTTTTATCCTCAATACGGCCAAAACGTGTCCCATCGAAATAATGATTTTAGGTCTCTTTGGACAAAATCCGTTTCTGGAGATTTGAAGTCGATCCAGCGTTTGTTTGTCTAGCGGATGCACACGATAAATTTCGAAGAGAGTATCCGATTTGGTTCAAACTTGGCACATCGTAATATTATTGACAAAATTAGATCGAGTTCGGAGATGAGCAATATCGGTCCACTTCTTCTGGTACCTCCCCCACAAAAGTTTGAAATTCTTCAAAAAATATATATTTCCTGCACAGAAAGATAAACGATCATCCGATTTTGCTCCAACTTTGCAAATCCCAATATTGGCGTCAGTGCTAGTTCAGGTGCGAAAATGGACAATATCGGTCCACTCCAGCGAGTACCTCCCCACAAAGGATCAAAATTTTGAATAATTATAACTCTTTTAAATGTGATATAATTATCCGATTGTCTTCAAATTTCAAACATACCAATATTTTTATGAACTCTAGGTCTGGTACCTCCCCCACAAAGGGTCGAAGTTTCCAAAAAAATATTTTTTGCACAGAAAGAGAATAGATAATCCGATTTTGCCCCCACTTTGCAATCCTAATATTTACGTCAGTTCTAGGTCAGGTGCAAAAATGGATACTATCGGCTCACTCCATGAAGTGCCTCCCCCACAAAGGGTAAAAATTTTGAATAATTATAACTCTTATAAAATGTGATGTAAGAATCCGATTGTCTTAAAATTTCGCACATACTAATATCTGGTGTTAAGATGGAGTATGTCGGTCTACTACTTCTGGTACCCCCCTACAAAAGGTCGAAATTTTGAATATCCAGCTCATAAAACGCGAAATTAACATCTGATTCCATTTAGACTTGGTACATCTCAATATTTCTATCAACAAAGAATCTGTTATAAAAACCGTGAAGAACGGACCATATCTTCTGGTACCTCCCCTAAAAGGAGTCAACATTTTGAAAAGCCAAAAAGATTATAAAATCCGAAATAAGCATCCGGTTCTCCTCATATTTTACACATCCCATTATTTCTACTAACACAAGATCTGCTGTGAAGATGGAATATACCGGTCCACTCCTTCTGGTACCTCCCGACCAATGGTCAAAATTTTGAATAACCATGAAGCTCAAAAACACAAAATTAATATATGATTCCCTTCAGACTTTTGCATATTCATGAAGCTCATAAAACGCGAAATTAACATCCGATTTCATTCAGACTTGGTATTTCTCAATATTTGAATCAACACAAGATCTGGTAGAGATCGGACCATTTCTTCTAGCACCATACCCACATATGGTTCAAGATTTGAAAAAAAAAACGCTCAAAGAAAGCGAAATAAACATCCAACTCTTTTCAAATTTCACACACATCCCATTATTTCTACTAACACATGATCTGTTGTGAAGATGATATATGTCTGCGAACACCTTCTGGTATCTCACCCACAAAGGGTCACAATTTTCAATAATTTTATCTGTCATAACCTGTGAAACAAGTTAGCGATTCTTTACAACGAAATATTTCTCTCAACCAGAAACCTGGGATGAAATTCTATGGTTCTTCTTTTACATAGGAAATCCTTTTTATTTTTATACAAATCCTCTAGAATTTAATAATTTAAAAAAAAGGCTTACTATCCCTATTAAATGTCCGTAAACTATATTCCATGTACTTTATTATTTCTATGTCGGTTCTTATTCTGAGGCACTCACTTTTCCCTTCCACTGTAAGTTACAAGGAAATCGAATTCTCTCACGGCATTTTCATCGTTTGTCTTTTTCAAAGTTCTTGTGACGTTTCGTTTTTTTTTTTCTATTCTAACAACCGAACTCATGTTGGCGATATACAAAATGTCACACAGATAGATACACGCAATGCAAATCACATTTTAATGGCAATAGATAAAATAGAATGAATTTTCGCCTTGCTTTCGTTGCTCTGTTTGAGAAAAAAATAATAAATAAACCTAACTCCCACCCACCCTCTTCTATATTTACAACAAATAAATAGAATAACATTTTAATAACAGAGATCAATGTTCTCAGTAGCCGCCTGTGAGGTGAGCCAATTGCACTCATCTCTCAATTGAACTACAGTTTTCCCCCATTTACTCATTCTCTCTCTCTCTCTCCCATTAATTCAAGAGCAAGGAGACCCAATCGAATCCATCATGTTAGCAATATTCTTGGCAAAATTAAACGAAAATAAACACGAAGTAATGGCACTATGTAAACAATTAATTGGCAATTCAAATAGCCACGTTGTTATATTGTTGTAGAGTGTTATAGAAATGCATCGATTGTTGTTTACGAATTGTTGCTGTTGTTGTTATGGTTTTGATTGTTGCCACCGCTATAATCGGTGTAATCGACAACAACAATCATCATCAATCGTGTGTCGAGTGTAATTTAACAGCAACACCAACAACCAATGGAAGTTTTATTGGACGTGTGACATAATACGTCACAGGTTAATGCTATCTACCCAACATTGTTCGGTATGGTATGTTCAAACGAATAATGATGAGGAGGGTGATGATGACAATGATAATAATGACAGATTGCTTTGTAGACAAATTGTTCTCGATGATCTCGTTGTAAATACCTATCAAATAAGAATATGTTTGAATGTAACATTTCTCTTATTCGCTATTTGTTATTGCTTGTTTTTGAGTTAATAGATGTTTGCATGCGAACAAAGGTGAATGTAATATGCATGTTCCTCTGGCACATTAGGTCGTATGTTACATAGGTCTTACAGCGTTGGAAAAGGGAAATGATAGATTTTTTTGGATTCTATAAAGTTTCAAATGAATTTTTGGAAAAATATTATTTAATATAGGATAAATTGTCTTAAAAATGGCAGAATTTAAGGTGGTCTCATTGGACCGGAACCTTTTTGCCCAAAATGCAAGACCTTAGCTTCCATGGCATATGGTTTCAACAAGACGGTGCGCTCGATCAGCATATTATTACACGTTTGGGACCTTTCAATTGGGCGCCAAGATTGTACGATTGTTTTTGTGGGGCTATGTTAAGCTATATGTCTATAAAGATACGTGGACCCTACTATCAATTCAAATAAAGATTTCATGCATTTTTCGGAATAAAAGTTATTTTTCATTTCCCTGTAACTCAACCATTTTTATTATAATTCATGAATGCAAAATGCTTCGAGCTGAAGTACTCCTATGAGTAAAAGAGGAAATTGAGAATACTCCTTTTTTTGGTGCCACTCGAAGAAGAGAGAGCATGTTTGCCTTGTTTTTGAGTGAGATTAAAATCCACTGTAAATCGAGCAAATTCGACTATTTTCGAGTACTTGTTAAATTTTTCTCACACGGTAGTTGTAGTTGCATATACAGGGTGAGATAAAAAGAAACTGCAAAAAAATCATACGGCATAAATTTTACATTTTTTTTTTAATTTTATTGAATGAAAGCAAAACATGTCGGAAATACCATCAAATTTTATAATAAGTTTAGATTTGTTCGAATTTGTCACCTTTGGCACGAATTATGGCCTTAAAACGGCCAATGAAACCGTCAAACGCTGCCCGAATGCTACTTTGCGGTATTTTGGCTCATTCCCGGCGAAGCTCTTGCTTGGGGTGATCGTCACATTGGTGCCAACCTTGCTTTCCAAAATACTCCAGACACAATAGTCCAACG